TTCCTTTTTCAGATTCGAGCGCAGAGAGACGAGGGCTTGAGCCGGCCTTGGCCGGCTCACACGAGCGGAGTGAAACGCTCGCGGCCCCAAAGAGAAGACGGGGAGGGGGGGGGAAACGATTCGAGCAAAGGCTGGTCCCAGTCCCCGTAGGGATGGCCTACCCAACCGACGGAACCGCCGATAGACAGTGGCCGCTGCTGGGACCAGCGCTCGAAATTATGGTAGCGACCACGCCGTCATGCTCAAGCGAGGCTTGCTACTGCGACCGAAGCCACCTCTGGGCCTCCGACGCCGCGCGTTCCTGCCACGAGGGCCAGGCGCTGCGCGCATGAATCCGGCGCAGCGCTCACGTCCTCATGATCGTCTTCTCCGAGCAGCCCTCCGACTGCGAATCCCGCTCGCCCCAAGTGTTTCATGTACAAGTTCAGGTACAGGAGGCCGCTGTCCGTACGTCCATGCACGACTTTGAGCTCGACCTTGCCGAGGGCAACCCATGCCGGAGCCTCGATGTCGCGCTCTGAGACGCTGTAGTGGTAGCCTCCGGCTTTCTTGGCCTCTGCCCAAGACCCAGTAACGTTGAGCTGTTGGAAATACATGTCCGCGCATTGTCCACCCAGTCGGCGCGCATCGGCCTGCACGCGAAGCAAAGCGCTTTCAGCACTCTTTCCACGAGGGATGTTGATCAGAACATGCTTGCCCGCCTTCATCAAGTCGAACCGCTCGCCATGGACGTTTTGCAAGTGGGGGTCGCCAGCGGCAGAAGCTCCAGCACCTGCTCCGCCCGCTGGAGGTGGCGTTTCCTGGGCGGGCGCTGAAATGTGCCCTGCGCCGTTAATTGACAAATCCTTCACGTAAGCGTACGTGGTCGTGCCATACGAGGCCCATCCGAGCCATGTGGTCGTGCCATACGCCGAACACCTCGTGACAGGATTTCCTGCATCACTACCGAAGCCGTTGCTCACGCCGTCGACCAACCAGCTGACGAGATTGACACAATTGCCCGCCGTCGTGAACGTCATCGCCCACGTGTGCCATTGGATCGGGTCGGACGGCTCGTTTGTGTTGGGTGAGCGGCCGTCGCCGCTCCCGCCCGACACTGACCATCCACCGTAAGCGCCAAAGCCGTAGTCGCTGGGGCGAGAAATCCACCACAGATCAGGAACTTCGCGGCCTGTTCCTGCATACGAGCTGCGGAAGGGCTCGAAGAACCAATGGGGGGCAACAGGACCTTTCACGTTCGGGGTCGAGCAATCCTGCTCCTTGCAGCCACGTGTCTTGAACTCGATGACGAGTTGATCTGTGAAGTCCCAAGTGATTTGCTTATCGATCGAGCAACCACCGTTATTCAGCGAGATCACATTGTCGGACGAGACGGAGCACGCATCCGTCGAACCGATACTGAACGGGGCGGTCGTGACGGCAGCTGGCGTCGGGGACGGCGTCGGAGCTGGCGTCGGAGCTACCGTCGGAGCTAGCGTCGGGGACGGGGTTGCCTGTGCGGTGATGGCAGCCGGAACCTGCGACCAATCGAAGAGGGTGACCGCGGGAACCTGACCACGATAGGAAAGCATCATCGACTCCGCGAGGGTGTACCACAAGAAGTTGTCGTATTGTCGTAGAGTGGGTCCGCGGGATCGGTGGGGCAGTCGCTGACTTGGAGAGCTGGGCCGTAAAAATCGTGCCACGATGTGGAAGTCGTCAAACCCGGCGCGCCCATGCACTTGCCACCGTGGTTGTTGGGTGCGCCGGTGAGTGCCGGGGCGACTGCGACAATCTGAAAATATGAGCCCCCGACAAACCTGAGTTCCCACGTATACACCTCAGCTCTGTCGCAATTGTCTGTTCTGCGCAAATAGTGCCCATCCCCGAGCAACATGAAACACTCCATTGAGCCCGCAAACTCGAGTGGGTTGAGGGTCAATCTGCCCCGGTCGTCGAACTCGTAACTGGCGTGCTGGTAAAAATAATACCCATTCCCCTGAGCCATGGAAGCCCTGGAGGTGACGCAAAGCTGCCTGAAATAGTCTGTGTTGCACGCGGCGAGCTGGAGCATGTACCTGTTCCAGACATCCGGAGATTGGTACACATCACCTGCCCGCAACTTCGGGTAAATCATTGCCGGGTAGCCGCTGAACTCTGAACCGGACACTACCGCGCGGCGGCTGCCGTTATTGACGCTCGCCATGGCTGTTCCAAGCTGCATCATGCTGGAATCGGCAGGGGCCGCAGCCAGGCCAAAGGCCCCGCATGCCCCGACGAGGCTGGCGATCAACAAGAGATGGGCCATCTGTGGAATAGGTGAGCCGACCAGAGGTTGGATGTACACAGAGTGCGCGAGTGTGTCTCGGATTGCGAAGGCCCAGCTGGAGCCAAACAATCTTGAGCCAAAATGGCTACGGAATGCGGTGCCATACGTTGTGCAAATTATGCGGTACAATCTACGTTGCTACGTTAAGCCATATATGCGGTGCAATCCTTGTGGTGCTTATCTATGCGGTGCAGCATTTGTTGTGCAATCTAGGCGTCGACGAAGAGGTGACGGGGCGGTGACGACGGCCACAGAGCAGGCAGACCGCCACACCGGCCCAGACGACAGACGGTGACAATGCGGCAACGGGGCGGCGACAGCGGCCACACAGCCGCCAGAGCGGCACACTGGCCCAGACGACGGGCGGCGACGTGGCGGCGTTAGGGCGGCGACGACTGCCACGTAACCGCCGAAGTGGCACTCCGGCTCAGACGACGGGCGGCGACGAGGCGGCGACGGGGCGGCGACGGTGGTCACAAAGCCGCCAGAGCGGCACACCAGCCCAGTTCGTTAGAAAACAATAAGTAAGACCCCTAAGTGCAAGCACTGTTTGGGGAAGTGTCGTGGTCGAAGATACCGTTTGCCAAGTTTGCCCGCAAGGAGCGGTTCGCTGCAATATAAGATGCAGCCATGTAGTCGACGAGGAAAAAATGATAAACAAACAAGAAACCGACGACCTTGCGCAATAGCCCACGCAGGCCTCCAGCGCGGCACACAGCGTTGAAACCAAGACGCGTACGTGCGAATGTCTGCGCAATGGGGAGATATGATGTCGATCATGTGGCCAGCTGGAGACAGCCTACATTTGTAAATGTTGCAGGCCGCCCGAATGGGGCTGGATGAGTGGGGTTCAAAGATCGCGCCACACCAGGGGGTCCCCACATAATCTAAAGCAAGGATTCAACAGTATCATATCAAGAATCTTTGGTATGACACTGTTGCGGGCTGCTGCGGCAACTCTCATGGGGACATCGTAAGCCTTGTGAAACCTCTTGGTGCCCTTTGAGTACCTCTTCAAGCCTCCTGGGGCCAAGAAGAGAATCCATAATAATTCCAAGAAGCTCCCAAGAGAGCCTGTAGAGAGCTCCATGAGGGTCCAAGGAAGGTCCCCAACAGCCTCATACCAAGGTACGGTGGCGGGATGGGCCTTGGGCAACCAGATCCGCCGCCCCCTGTCGATTCATCGCAGAGGTGCCTGGCGTGCTAGATGATTTCGGTTTTGGTTTTGGTTCTTCTTCAAAAAGAACCCCCCCTGGGGCTCCAGCGCGCCCCGCCGGGGTGCCAGGAGGAAACTCCAGGCCCGCAAATTACCTCAACGTCCGCAAACATGTCTCCAACACGGCTCAAGATGGCCTCCAAGACGGCCAAGATGGCCCTCAAGCTCGCCCAAGATGGTCTAAGACAGCCTCCCAGACAGCCCAAGAGGGTCCCAGATACGTCCAAGTTCGCCCAAGAAGCCTCCAAGACGGCCCAAGAGGCTCCCAAGAGGTCCTCCAGGAGGGCCCGAACATGCCAAAATCGTTGATTTCCGTTAGGGTTTTGAAGGATTTTGGCATTCGCTTCTTCTCGGCATTCCGACGGCTCAAGACGGCCCTCAAGATCGCCCCAAGATCATCCACGAAGCCTCCAAGATGGCCCCATGAAGGCCAAAAAGACCCCCAAGACGGCCTCAAGGACCCAAGACGGGCCAAGAGGCCTCCAAGACGCCCAAGATGGCCTCCAAGACGGCCCCGAAGCGCCCCGAGCGGGCCCCAAGCCGGTTCAGAAAGGCCCCCAAGAACGGCTCCCGACGGCGTCACACGTGCCAGGAACCCATCAAAATAGCCGAAGTTGGCTCGAAGCTGGCCCAAGACGGCCCAAGCGGCCTTCAAGAGGGCCTCCAGGAAGGCCAGAAGAGCCCAAAAACATGTATTTCCTAAAGTTGTTTTTACCTAACAGCTCTTGCTGATAGGTTTCTAGTGGTCTCAAAAGAACGCATCATGACTCCTCAAGGGGGTCTGGGCGGGACCCGGGGAGGCTGCCGGGAGGCTGCCGCCGAAGCCGAAATCGCTTGGGACATCCTCGGAAAATCGCTCTTGGTGCTCCCAGAACTCCATTCCCGGGCCACATTTTGGATGCCTGGAGCCAACTGTAGGCCACTTCGTGCTCTTCGACTTCCCAGAACTCCATTCCCGGGCCACATTTGGGATGCCCGGAGCCAACTGTAGGCCACTTCGTGCTCTTCGATTTCCCAGAACTCCATTCCCGGGCCACATTTTGATGCCCGGAGCCAACTGTAGGCCACTTCGTGCTCTTCGATTTCCCAGAACTCCATTCCCGGGCCACATTTTGGATGCCCGGAGCCAACTGTAGGCCACTTCGTGCTCTTCAAGTTCCCAGAACTCCATTCCTGGGCATGATTTTGAATGCCCGGAGCCAACTGTAGGCCCTTCTCTTTATCCCAGAACTCCACTCCTGGGCCACATTTTGAATGCTGAGGCATGATGCTGCGGCAGGCTGAGGCTGAGGCAGGCTGAGGCAGAGGCTGAGGCAGGCTGAGGCTGAGGCTGGCAGGCTGAGGCTGAGGCTGAGGCAGGCTGAGGCTGAGGCTGAGGCAGGCTGATGCTGAGGCAGGCTGAGGCTGAGGCTGAGGCTGATGCAGGCTGAGGCTGAGGCAGGCTGAGGCTGAGGCCGAGGCTGAAGGCAGACTGAGGCTGAGGCTGCAGGCTGAGGCAGGCTGAGGCTGAGGCAGGCTGAGGCTGAGGCTGAGGCAGGCTGAGGCTGAGGCTGTGACTGCGACTGCCGTTGCCGCTGCGACTGTCATCGCGAATGCGACTACGACTGCGAGAACAGCAGAATTCTACAACTGGATTTTCATCTGAATCTTAAGGGGAATGCTTTCAGATATGCTTCTACACATCGCTGTTAGGTTGCTTTGACGTTTTTTTGTTTTTACCTAACAGCTCTTGCTGAAGGGATTTTTACCTAACAGCTTTTGCTGATAGGTTTCTAGTGATGTCAAAAGAGAGCATCTGGACTCCACAGGGGGGTCTGGGCGGGTGCCGGGGAGGAGGGCCGGGAACAGAGCCGGGCTCGTTTTAAGCCAACAGTCACACACTTCGTGCTTTTCGACCTCCCAGAACTCCACTCCCGGGCCACATTTTGAATAACCGGAGCCAACTGTAGGCCACTTCGTGCTCTTCGACTTCCCAGAACTCCATTCCCGGGCCACATTTTGGATGCCCGGAGCCAACTGTAGGCCACTTCGTGCTCTTCGACTTCCCAGAACTCCATTCCCGGGCCACATTTTGGATGCCCGGAGCCAACTGTAGGCCACTTCGTGCTCTTCGAGTTCCCAGAACTCCATTCCTGGGCATGATTTTGAATGCCCGGAGCCAACTGTAGGCCACTTCGTGTTCTTCGAGTTCCCAGAATTCCATTCCCGGGCCACATTTTGAATGCTGAGACAGGCTGAGGCTGAGGCTGAAGCAGGCTGAGGCTGAGGCAGGCTGAGGCTGAGGCCGAGGCTGAAGGCAGGCTGAGGCTGCAGGCTGAGGCTGCAGGCTGCAGGCTGAGGCTGAGGCTGAGGCTGCAGGCTGAGGCTGAGGCAGGCTGAGGCTGAGGCTGAGGCTGAAGGCAGGCTGAGGCTGAGGCTGAGGCAGGCTGAGGCTGAGGCTGAGGCAGGCTGATGCTGAGGCAGGCTGAGGCTGAGGCTGAGGCTGAGGCTGATGCAGGCTGAGGCTGAGGCAGGCTGAGGCTGAGGCTGAGGCTGAAGGCAGACTGAGGCTGAGGCTGAAGCAGGCTGAGGCTGAGGCTGAGGCAGGCTGAGGCTGAGGCTGAGGCAGGCTGATGCTGAGGCAGGCTGAGGCTGAGGCTGAGGCTGATGCAGGCTGAGGCTGAGGCAGGCTGAGGCTGAGGAGGCTGAAGGCAGCTGAGGCTGAGGCTGGCAGGCTGAGGCTGAGGCTGAGGCTGAGGCTGCAGGCTGAGGCTGAGGCTGAGGCTGAGGCTGAGGCTGAGGCTGCAGGCTGAGGCTGAGGCTGAGGCTGAGGCTGAGGCTGAGGCTGAGGCTGAGGCTGGCTGAGGCTGAGGCTGAGGCTGAGGCCGAGGCTGAAGGCAGACTGAGGAGGCTGAAGCAGGCTGAAGCAGGCTGAGGCTGAGGCTGAGGCTGAGGCAGGCTGAGGCAGGCTGAGGCTGAGGCTGAGGCTGAGGCTGAGGCTGAGGCAGGCTGAGGCTGAGGCCGAGGCTGAAGGCAGACTGAGGCTGAGGCTGAAGCAGGCTGAGGCTGAGGCTGAGGCAGGCTGAGGCTGAGGCAGGCTGAGGCTGAGGCTGAGGCAGGCTGAGGCTGAGGCTGTGACTGCGACTGCCGTTGCCACTGCGACTGTCATCGCGAATGCGACTACGACTGCGAGAACAGCAGAATTCTACAACTGGATTCTCATCTGAATCTTAAGGGGAATGCTTCCAGATATGCTCCTACACATCGCTGTTAGGTTGCTTTGGATAATTACCTAACAGCTTTTGCTGATAGGTTTCTAGTGGTGTCAAAAGAGAGCATCTGGACTCCACAGGGGGGTCTGGGCGGGTGCCGGGAAGAGGGCCGGGAACAGAGCCGGGCTCGTTTTCAGCCAACAGTCACACACTTCGTGCTCTTCGACCTCCCAGGAACTCCATTCCCGGGCCACATTTTGAATAACCGGAGCCAACTGTAGGCCACTTCGTGCTCTTCGACTTCCCAGAACTCCATTCCCGGGCCACATTTTGGATGCCCGGAGCCAACTGTAGGCCACTTCGTGCTCTTCGACTTCCCAGAACTCCATTCCCGGGCCACATTTTGGATGCCCGGAGCCAACTGTAGGCCACTTCGTGCTCTTCGAGTTCCCAGAACTCCATTCCCGGGCCACATTTTGAGTGCCCGGAGCCAACTGTAGGCCACTTCGTGGTCTTCGAGTTCCCAGAACTCCATTCCTGGGCATGATTTTGAATGCCCGGAGCCAACTTTAGGCCACTTCGTGTTCTTCGAGTTCCCAGATTTTGAACTAGAACCACGCGCGCGCTTCGCGCGCGCTTAGGTTCTAGCTAGGATCGTCACCGTCGTCATCATGAACATCACCATCGCCATCACTCCCC